GCATCCATTGTTACCTAAAACAAAGAATTCAATTACTCTCAGCAAGCAAGGAAACACCTTCATTACAACATAGAACAGGATAAAGGACATAATAAATAAAACTGAACTGAACTGAATTAATGGTGGGACACACTACAATAAAACAGAGGAAAACCCCAACAATCAGACAACCCCCCATGAGCAAGCATTTGGTGACAGTGGGAAGGGAAAACTCCCTTTTAACAGGAGGAAACCTCCAGCAGAGCCAGGCACAGGGAGAGGCGGCCATTTGCCTCGACCGGCTGGGGGTGAGAGGAGGGAGACAGAAAAAAAGACACCAGGGTCACCTGATACAGCCCTAAGCTGTAACAAAAGGAAAAGTCTTGAGCCTAATATTCAAAGTAGAGAGGGTGTCTGTCTCCCAAATCCAAACTGAGCTTCCTGAAAGCTGAAAGCTCTGCCTCCCTTTATACTTTTAAACACCCAAGAAACTAAAAATAAGTCTGTAATCTGAAAGAAAAGTGCTCTGTTGGGGTCATATGGTGCCCATTAGATCTTTAAGTTAGGACAGGGCCTGATTATTCAAAATCTTGCATGTAAGAACAAGGATTTTGAATTCAATTCTTGATTTATAAGGCAGTCGTACATATTTGTTTAATATGCCAACGTGTTGAATGTGCACATTGAAGGACATAAGGTGGTCAAAAAGGACTCCAGGATTTCTCACAGTGTCATAGGTGAAAATTTCTCCATATTACTGTAAGCAAAAATAATACCATTCAGCATAAGTATGTATTTAGAAAGTGTCTGTTTCCTTATTTAACATCTTGCATTTATGCACCATGCATCAATAATACCTAGTGATGACCAGATGACACCACAGGAAGTCGTGAAGTTTCCTGTGTAATTGGTTCAGAAAAAGTGTAATTTCATGAGGCTTCAGACCCCCCCCCCCCGGTCATAATCTTTGCTGTCATTTCAGCTGTTTATAGTGGCCTCTTGGGTGTCTTATAACAGTAACACTTGAACCACCTTCTATAACAGCGAGGCCTCAGACATGATCAGTGACATCACTCACCCTGAAAGAAACAGGCCACGATATGTGCTTTATAAAAAACTTCCTGGATTTCTTGATACATGCTCCAAAGCTTCGGCACAGTACATCCCATCACTAATGATATCTAGTGATGGGTTAGAGGACACCTCATGGAGTGTGTGACACAGTTTCCCTTAATATTTTGACATTGTAGTGACATTGTTTTGATGTGTTTCTCGTAGCTAGATTTAAGAATCATTGTAGCAACCCAGATAAAGAGTGTGGAGAGGGTCAGAACTTCGTTCATTCATTCTGGCATCTGCACACCAAATGAGTGATGAATGATCCTGTTTACATAATCAGCTGATGATGAAGTGCTAACTGAATAAAAGAGAAAAATATTTATTTCAGATAATTTGATTATAACAAAAAAATAATAGGATTAAAAAATACAGTGTCCAATGCAAAATTTACAAAAATATGTTATGCAAGCAAGTATAAGTGAAAAATTGAGATCAAAGTCAAAGTTTCGTTCAGGAAATGGGTGCTTGTGACAGTGGGAGTGCTTGTGTACTTGTGTGTGAGGGGAGAAAGTACGGTTTACACATTTTATTAATAATGAGAATTTTTTTGTAGCGTATTGTCACCGAGGCAATTTCAACTCTTAAAAAAAATTAAAGCCAATTTGTAGAAGTGTAGTAAGTGTGTTTTTGATTCTGTCAGTATTCTAAGGTATCCTGCCCTGTGACGGATATCACTGGATTCAATTATCGCAGTTGTATTAGAATTCATTCTGTTTTCCAAAACTTCCATATATACCTGCTGCCATAGATTAACTAAGAAAGAAGATGTCTGAAATGGGTGCTAATGGTAAATGTTGTGATGAAGGTCCAGGTTGTGCTTTTTCCAATCTTCTCCCAATAGCAATTGATAGGGTCAGCTCAGGGCTAACACATTTTATTGCTTCATTGACTTTAGATGAACTTAGAAAGAAAAGACTCTTGTATCTGGGTTGTAAAGTTGACTTGACTTGACATATATATAAATTAGTGATGTGCGAATCATGAACGAATCATTCAATTTGAAAATCACTTTACTGACTCATGAATCATGATTCACAAGCCCAACTGACTCACTGACTCATCCCTGTTGCTGTTAGCAAACTAATTTCATTAGTAGAAATATATCTAGCTGCTCTGAACTGGAAGAAAAACCCTGAGTAGAAAGCTCACATCAATACACAACCCATAGCTCCTCGGTTCACAGTAGCATCGCTCTGCAAACATGCTAACAGCACATTTGAGTTACTCACCCGCTCCCTTCCTGTGCTGAATCGTAGCCAGTGTTGGGGAGTAACGGAATACATGTACCGGCGTTACGTATTTAAAATACAAAATATGAGTAACTGTATTCTGTTACAGTTATCGTTTAAAAAGGTGATATTCAGATATTCAGTTACTTGTCGAATTAAAAAAGGATTACATGGCGGTCTTTTCCTGCTTCATATGTTAGGCTATGCCCTCTTTATTTTTGGTAATTCCACGCCAGTGGAAACCCAAACAAAACATGCAATAACAGGCTCTAATGCCTGGGTCTCAATCTCGCGGCCCAAGTCACCCCTACTTGTGGCCTGCATAAATGATGTGAAGAAATATTTTTTAAAATTATTATTAAAAAAATTATTTTAATGTGAAGGCAATAGGCAGAGTGTTGGCCCTAAGGAATGTAGCCTCATGGGCAGTGTAGTTTGTGGGGAGAATGGACTGCCATACCCGTTTATGTGTCTGTGAGAGTGAGGGAGGGAGAAAAAGGAGAGCCAAACAGTACGAGTTGTCACCAACCAGAAACGGGAGATGGAATCATGTAGATATAATAATAACCAGTGCAGTCAAAAAGAGTGCCTGACGAGCCCATTTGTAAGTAAGCTATTGAGACTCGACTGTACACTGTGTTCGTGTTTTCCTCCGAAACAATAAGTTCAGTTGGAGCAGCCTTTCAATGCCTCTCTCTGTCTCTCGTTAGCAAAGTTGACCAAGACAACAAAGTAAAGCTATTTTTCGGCTACGAGCCCGACACGAACCCGACGTATTAGCCAGAGGTCCCTTTACTACGTTTTGGAGCCGCGGACCTGTTTTATATACGCGCGCAATAGTTTTCTATATGAGATGACTGCAAAAAGTTCAATCTTTACCTAATGTCCATCCTATTGTTACTCATTTTATATTAAGATTTAAAAATCTTGTTGATATTTGTATGGCGAGTAACCTTCAATAATAGTAATAAATCACACAGCAATAGTACATCCATGTACTTGTAAAAAGCATGATAACATATTAAGTAATAAAAAGTATTCAGAATATGTTACTCTCATTGAGTAACGTAACAGAATAATTTACAAAATACATTTTGGGGCATGTATTCTGTAACCTTCCCAACACTGATTGTAGCATAAGCAAATCACTCACTCACTCCCCCCCTCACAGCTTCTTCTTCTTCTTGGTTGGCAACCAATGTTAAGGAGCATTACCGCCCCCGTGGCACACAGCTCAGTGGACATTTAGATGAGAAAATATATATTTGACACATTTAAGGAAAATACTAATAAAATTAAATAAAGATAAATAAAATAAATGTTCCCTTTAGAAATATTTTTTTGCTCTTTTATGCTCTATAAAAATAGTTGTTTTTTCTTTTTCAATCACTCATCTTAGCAGTAGGATTTACATGAGAAGAGAAATAAATTAAGTTTGAGTGAAAATGTAAATTTTTGCACTCTCTGGTTAACTGACTCAGTGACTCAAATGACTCAAAAAAACGATTCACTTTGGTGAGTGACTCATTCAAAGTCAGTAAAAATTTACCATCACTAATATATATACAGAGATGTGAAATAGATAGATAGATAGATAGATAGATAGATAGATAGATAGATAGATAGATAGATTCTTCACATCTCTGTAATAAATAACTTTACTGTGTCACCGATTACTCTGCAAAGGAAAGTTAGTCAACATCCAACGACACGTGTTATAAACGGGGAAGCTATCCATAGAAGCCAGAACATTTTTGTATGCTCTGCAAAGTCCAAGGGCATTGGCTCATTTTCGAAGCCTGTCTGAAGCGGATATGAGAGGAAATGCAGGTTTTAGCGTCACCACATTACATTCATTTTTATCTCCTTTGGGTTGCTTGGGTTGGTTATCGATAGTTTAGGCTGCATCAAAATGTTACTTAATCCACTGTGGTACTGTTCTGAACAAACGGTTTAAAAGAAGGCCAAGCTCTTATTTCAACTCCCATGCCTTGCTTGTAACATTACCTACTGACGTAACATCCGGTGGTGCTGTTGGCGGGCAGAAGGTGGTCGTGCGGATTGTTAGCATCGAGGCAGAGGCTATTGTGTGACTCATTAAGAAAGCACGTTGCAAATATCGTTCTCGAGCACGCTGCAAAGCCAGCTCATAGTCTTGTGTTGCTACTGCCGTGCATCCAGTTTCTTTACTCGTCTGTTGGACACGGCTAAATCTCCCTCGGGCCTGCCATTAAGCCATACAACCGCCGCGAAGCTTTCTTTTCAAAGGTAAGGCTCGTGTTCGTTAGCATTTTGAGGCAAAACGTGCCCGCGATCTGCCTCCTGCCCTTCGCTTGCAGGAGGCAGATCGCCTGGCTAGTCGCCGTGCTCATGTTGTGAACTTTACATTTCTGGCGAGTCCAGTTCAAGTAAACCCAACTAGTCTGGAAATTATATTAGCATTCGTCCATTCTTAAGCTAGTGCTGCGCAAGGAGCTCACGTCATGTGCATGCATAAGGGACAAACTGAGAGCCACACTCGTTGTCTTTGGCACTTGAAAATAGATTGGAAACACTGGTATTGTTGTATGTGTGATTACAAATTCATCATTGAATTTGTGTGTACAGGTTGTCGCAGTTTGCGTTTGCAGGTGGTGGCATGCTGCAAACTGCATTCATGGTGATACAGGCAACATGGAGGCGGGCGCTTTTCTTCGCTACCAAACCACCAGACTCGAGAAATTTAAACGGCGTATCATTTAGGATTTCGCGCTAGAAATTTGCTGCCGACTGAGGCTGATCTCATATCATTAGTCTTTTAAAGAGTGAATAGGAAAAACGTATTAGTTGACACGTATGTAGGCAGTGTGGTCATCGGCGTTTTACCGCCTCGGTGCATTCATCTTTGATGCTCGAAATCGCAGGGAAAGTTTAGCCTGCAGTATAGGCGAACAACCATTTGTTGCTTCAGCTGGAACCCCTGCATGCCATCAAACAGTGATTTGGTCAAGCCATTAAGCCATCAGCACCGTCCTCTCTTCCTGGCTAGTATTTACTGTATTATCCTATTTAGTATTCTCCTATTTGCCTATGTTGATTCCACAAAATTGGCCAACTAACACTCTCCAAACTTTATACCGTTTTCATAATTTGCATAATTCTTACGATCCCCCACTTTCTGTGTGCACATTGTGGAAGCAAGAATACTGGCAAAGTTCTGAGAACCCAGTTTTTAGTTTTATTTTGTTTTGGGAGTTTTTGTTTGTTTGTTTTTGCTCCAATGCATGCATTAAGAGCAAAACAATCCTTAAATGATCATGAACTAGGGTTAGGGAAGCTATACTTTAAACAGAAACATGTCAATGCACAAACAGGGCTAAGTAACATTTGAAAAGCTGGATGGAAACCTGCAGATGCAGTTAGTAGTGTTCCAGCTTATGGTACTGTCTAAGAATGCTGTCAATGTAGAAAAAAAAACAGACTGAGTGATTGTCTGCAGTTTGGAAATGGACCAGTTCCGAAAAGTCCTGTAGCTGGTCATGTTTTAATGACCTGGGTGCTTGGAGGAATTTGTTTCTTGAGGGGGCTGGGATGAGAAGAAAAGAGAGGGGATCACATTCCTAACACAGACTGTTTTCACCATTTGAGTTCACCTGTGACGCAAACTGGCTGAAAGAGACCTTGACTTTTTTTTTTTCCTTTACCGTCAGTAAGGTTTAAATGAGAATGATCTAAATGTATTTTAGATAAGACATTTAGATGCAGGTAACCCCAACCTTTTAAACAGTACATTTGAATAATGAATGAAACTAGCACCACTGACCAGCAATGGGTCATATGTTTAATTTTTATGATTGTTAATGTGCAACTTGTTTAAGGTTGGAGAAACCTGCAGAATCAACTTCTTGGGATTTCCTTGCCTGGATGATTGAGCATGCATCAAGACAGTATGCAACATATAAGTGTAATCTATTGACCTGTAGAACGAGTTGTGGGGAAAAATAATTTGGTAGTGTAGAAGCATCATGCATTTTAACTGAGAATCATCTGCATGAACATTTGTTTTACCTGGAGACGGCCCTCTCACGCAAATTCTAGATGTTCAGTCTCTGCTAAACACATAGACCCACTTTTGTCATCTACAGGCGGACCAATTGCTGCTGATCAGATATGCGCTGTCAACATTTCATAGTTTTTGATCAAGGAGATAATGCAGACCACAAAGTAATATTTTGATGTCTTTTAATTGCAATGATACTTTTAACTTTCTAACCAGTTCATTATAACCTGTGCACTTTTCCTCCTGGGACCTTCAGAGGTTATCTTATCAGACGTCAAGCTGGCGACCCAAGCAGGAAAGAAGCCCAAGAAGGCAGAGGAGGAGGAGCAGCCTGCAGCAGCTCCACCACCAGCTGCAGGAGCAACAGCAGCCCCTGTAGCAGGAGCAGCTGAGGAGGAGGAAGAAGAGGAGTATGTGGTGGAAAAGGTTTTGGACCGCCGAGTGGTGAAGGGCAAAGTGGAGTTTCTGCTAAAATGGAAGGGCTTCTCAGAGTGAGTGCAAATGTATCTTTCATATTTTAGTTAGATTCTTTATTCTGACACATCTTTATCAAATGTAGTGACTAGTTTTGTTTAACTGTGTTCAATTGAAAAGTGAACTTTACAAAACTTTAATAACTTTTTAAAATTAAATGTCTGAGGTTTTGTTTTTTTTTAGCTTAACCAAATTTCAGCTTTTTTTGTAGCTTTTATATTTGTCATGGTGACGTGCTCATTGAACAAGGCAATGGACTGAAAAATGTAAAAGAACTAGGGAATACAATTAGGAATTTTAGATTAAAGATTGATTTAATTTGAGCTAGAATATCTGCAAATCACATCTTTCCATCTGCACTCATGTTATCTAGTGAGGACAATACATGGGAGCCAGAAGAAAACTTGGACTGCCCCGACCTTATTGCTGAGTACATGCAGAAACACAAAGAGAAGGAAGAGAAAAAGAAGGAGAGCAAACGGAAAGCAGCCAGTGAAACCTCGGGAGATGGAGAAGAGCGAGGAAGCAAAAGAAAGAAGGAGGAGGTGAGAACCTCAGTAAAGAATCTGAGCAGTCAAGCTCCCCCCGCAAAAGTTGTTTGTGTTGTAAATCTCCCCACAGTTGCTTTAACCCTCCTGTTATGTCTGGGTCAAACTGACCCATTTTTAAAATCTTTAAAAAAATAGTTAAAAGGGTTTTTTGAGTATGGAACTTCTTGTACTTGGCTTAATGAGGGTAATCAACAAATAAAATAAAAATGGTTCATTTACGTATGTGCACCCCGAAGGCCCATTAGGCCCTAATGTCACAGTGGATGAAAGACTAGTGGCATTTCGAGCTCGCTGCCCATTCAGGCAATATATGCCTACCAAACCAGCCAAATATGGCATAAAAATCTGGGCAGCATGTGATGCAAACACTAGCTATGCATTGAACATGCATGCTGAAAAGCTGGGTGGAGGAGTCCCAGAGAAGAATCGGGGCACAAGGTCTCAGGGAGCACAGCATAACATGTGACAGTTTTTTCACAAGCTACAACTTGGGTCAGGAGCTTCTAAAGAGAAAGACTACAGTGCCACCTAAGGGGGGGTGGACAACTTGGACAAAGTCACAGTGTCCTACAGGATCAAGCGAATGACTGCACACTGGCCACTGGTCATCTTTTACAACATGATTGATTGTCCGCCTATGACGCATTTGTCCTTTGGACGGAGAGCTTTCCTGAGTGGTACATGTCAAAGCTGTACAAGAGGCGCATCTTTCTTGAGGAGCTGGGGAAGGCACTTGTGGTACCGCATATACAATGGAGGCAGCACATGCCAAGGACCCCACCTGCTGCAGCTACAGTGAGGGAGAGGGCTTCACCCATTACACCAGTGCTTGAGGTAAGTGTGTGTCTCTGTGAGAGTATGTTGTGTGTGTCTTGAGATCAGCAAAAAACATAGTAATCATCATCCTCTTCTTTCTAGATTGCTGCTGGTGGGAAGAAGCAGAGATGCCAGTTCTGCAAGCCATCTGATGATGTCAAGACAAGCATGACCTCTGTAAAAAGTGCAAAATTCATTTGCACAAAACATTCAGTGATGACATGTCCCTCATGTGCTGTGTAGACACATGCACCTGTTTCAGTTCCACCTATTAATTTTTGTGTATTTCTAGTTCTAAACATTGCATAGTGTTGCTGTCACAACATTGATGGTCTGTCACTAGTGTACTGTGGCGACTCAGACACACACACTGTCTTCATATTGCTAATCTCGTATTTTGATCCTTTCTGGATCTAAAACAGTGCTTAAATAAAGTTTACTTTCACTACAAATCCTTTTGAGTCATTAGTCTTGATTTTAAGTCAGCGGGTCAATTTAACCCAGAAGACATGTCACATGTTACTTTTTCTGCATCACTGCATAAAAAAGAAAAATAGAAATTGTAAAATAACTTTAAAATAATCAATTTCATGTAAAACTATTGATATATGTTGGTCTTTCCAACATTAAGTTTTAAAATGTTTTTTATGAAAAACGAGTGAATTATCCTAATTGAACCGTGATCTGTGAGGGGTATACACCATTACACCAAATATTGATTGAAATGGTTAGTAATGGAGTTTATAATGAGATATAATCAATGTTTATTGGGAATTTTTTGTTTTCTGAGACTTTTGGATAAGTAAACATGCCCCAAACATCATTGGTAATCCTGAGAAACCGTTGCTTTAATGTCTATGGAGTGATGTCCCCTGCCTGCTTGTTTTCCTTACCTTTTGTCAAATGCCTTCCTGTATCTAGGGTGAGAAGGCCAGAGGTTTTGGCAGAGGACTGCAGCCTGAGAGGATTATTGGAGCGACAGACTCGAGTGGAGAGCTGATGTTCCTTATGAAGTGGTAAGTTTTCATTGTCACAAACGTATCATAATGAATCCCAGTTATTTCTCCGCTCTGTCATTTGGAAGTTAGAAGTTATCCAAATTCAGCGAAAGGTCTTATAAATTCATAGATGCAAGTTATTTTTTCCTCTCACTCTGGATTCCAGAGTTTATTGTACTGTGTAACTGAGCACTTTATTAGGGAAACTGTGAGTTTTAATCAATTTAACTCAAAGAGCTTTTGGTAAAGCTCTTTTATGGGTTTTTTGTTACTCAAGGTTATTCATTTGACATTTTTGTTAATGATTAGAAAAGTGATTATTTGTTTGGAAATTCCAGGAAGTACAAATAAGCCTGCAGACTGAGAGGGAAGTGTTGTGAGGTCTAAGATGTATTGGGTCCTGATCATTCAGGGCTGTTGAATGATTTTAGATTAAGAGAAGGATTTTAAGTGACAATATCCCATCTAGGTTATCTGTGTCTGGTTGGACTGGGTTGTTCCTGAGATTTTACAGCCAAATAAAATCATTTTGTTTTGCATGGATATGGACATTTACAAGAAAAGATCTGGCATTTTTGTCAATATTTAAGAAGTGTCTGTAGTGTAACCACATCTACAGAATAATATACAATGTATTTTCAGCACAGCATGCATGTACGCACCAGCTGTCAGAATATAGCTGAACAGGTGGGCCTATTAAAAAGGCCAGTGAGTCCATTGGCTATGGCTTCAAAATAAGAAGTTTGGTTCTTGACATTAATGAGATTTCTCTCTTCAATAAAACTCAACAGGAAAAACTCAGATGAGGCTGACCTTGTCCCAGCTAAGGAAGCAAACGTCAAATGTCCACAAGTGGTCATCTCTTTCTATGAGGAACGTCTCACATGGCACTCCTACCCCACAGAAGAAGAGGAGAAGAAAGAGGAAGACAAAAAAGACTAGATTTTTTGGGGGGTGCAAAGAAAAAAGGGAGGTGCAGGGCAGGAAATCAACTGTGCCCTGGTGAGGTGTCATCCAGGTTGGTCAGCTCTAGCAGCAACTTTGGCAGCAAAAGCAATGAAAAATATCTGCCAATGTGGCTGACAGAGGGGGAATAAGAATTGTTTTCCTGCCCTGCAAGGAATTCTCAAAAGATGGTCCCACCTGTATCTTGGCTGAAAAAATTTTAATTATTTATTTTTACCATCTTTTTTTTTTTTTAAACAAGTATGCTGATACTTAACTTCCTCCCTTAACCCCCACTATGTTTAACAATATTCAACTGAAAACAGTGGAAATTATGAAATTTTCTCCTACACTTAGTGAAAAGTGGCAGCCAGCTGTCAGCTTACCTCTTTGCCTTGAAGCAAGCTCAAAGTTTGGCTGTGATTTGTAAGTTTCTCTCCTCCAGTCACTGTTCCTTATTTCAGATATCTGTTTGAAGAGGGGGGAGGAGGGGAAAAAGAAGAGGGGGGGGGAAGGTTGTAAAAGAAGATCACAAATTGTGACAGACAGGACAAAGTTTACTTCCTGCTTTGTCAGGATACAAAGGTGGGAAATTCTTTTGAATGGGGATGAAGTGAGGAGTGAAAGAATGGACAAACAATGTCCTTTCAGTGTCTGTTCTTTGTGCCACCCATTTTCTCATTATTGTTGATGTGGTCATTTTAATCTCATGCATCATTGACTGTTCATAGTGATAGGTTAGACTACATGAGGGGCCTTAATCATCCTACCAGCCAGCGTGGCAGCTACGGATGTCACAGTACAAGTGGACCAGGGAATTTCCACTATTCTGAGATGTGGATTTAATACCAGTCAATGTATTTTCACCAAAAAAAATGCAGTATAGTTGGACATTTTGACACTCAACTACTATGACAGTAGCTTCATGTTATAAGCTATGTGTTGGGATAAACAGGCTCTTGTTAGCCGCTAGTTTACAGACATTTCAAGTGGTAAAGGTTGTGTTAAATGTGAAGAGTGGAGTATGTTACCTGCTGTTAGTCGCTGGTTTTGAGTCCCAAACTGCAGCCAGTATTACCATGTTATACTTGGTTGTTTGGTTACCTAGTACTGTCTGGTGTGGTTATTATTTTAAACGAGCTGCTTGTGAACATTGTATGCAGTGTTTCCTGAAAGTTACTCTCTCCACTCTGTCTGTACTCAAAACTATTTTAGTGATACTAAAGCCCCTTTCAGATACATTCTGTCAAAGTTGTTACATTGTTACTAAAACATGGGTCACTGATACATACAGTTTCCAAGAGCCTTGTGTCTTGTATGCTAAGACTTCATGTTTTTTGACAATGTGCATAGACTTGAAGTGCTGCCAGGGTTGGAACATGTAACCTCTGCTGCGCACACTTGGTGAGTCGGATCTTTCTTCTGAATTTGTAAAAGGCGAAAGAGACTGAGACATGGGGGGCCATTTTGGTCCCATCTATTCATGTGATCTTCACACCTGTGCCCTGTTAGTCTCAGTCTGGTAATAGATAGGATTTTTTTTTTTTTTTTTCAGGAAAAAAGTGCATGTCTGGAAGGGGCCTAAGTTGAAAAAACTCACATCTTGAGCTCTCCTAAGAAGCTGTTCTGATTGGGCAAAACATTTAAGTGAACTAAGTCCACTGAAGGTCAGCTGCTTCTGTAGTCTTGGAAAGAACAGGAAAACGGCCATATGAACTGCTGAACTATAAAGGCAGCTTGTTAAGTTTGCTGCCACTTTGGCTGGTAGGTGGCGGTGTCTTCTGACTCGATAACAAACAAGTGGGTTTCACTGCTGTGGCAGATGGCTGAAAGTTTGTCAGATGATCTTTATTTCCACTAATTTGTTTTTAAATCTTCACACACATTTACCTGTGTTTTGTAGGCTGTATTATTTGAGCTTGCACTGCCCGGGCAACACTTAACATACAGTATTCTTTCACATTCTTTGCTTGACACTTATTTTGGTGAATAAATTAGGATGCATCTTTAAAACTTTAGCATGCTGAGCAGAATCAGTTTAAAAATACTTGTCAAGTGTTCTGTGTTGAATGTAGCCCGGTTGTGTACATGTATGTATACTGTATTAAAGTTAGAACAGTAGCTGGCATATCTGGGTAAGCTGGTTCAAAACGGTTCATACTTCAGGTGGCGTTTTGCTGTGCCTGTTTTGTTTTTCGCTCCTTTTATTAGTCTTAGCCCTGACTGTCACATATGGAAGGCGTACAAGAGTACTTCATGCATACACAGACTGGGTAAAGGTTGCAACAGTTTCTTACCTTTTAAATCAAACACAAGAGGCTAAACTAGTCTGGTTTAAGTTTTTACTGTGAAGTCCTGACACGTCCTGCATCCTGACTACTTCACCACTGACTGGAAGGAACTGAACTATCTGCACCCAGGTCTGCTACTTAGGTTTTCTCATCTTGTGTCAAACTTTTGTTGTTGTGTTTTTGTTTGTTTTTAGTGGATTAGCTTGTGTTGTCTTGTTGCATGTTCATTTTCCTTTGCTATGTTGGCATCATGGCTGATCTACTTTTAGCTGTTTTGAAAAATAAAAGGTTTTTGTTTTCTAATTATTTTGGGCTTTGGACTCTCAATTACTTTTTAAAGGTGCACACAAAGATGTATTACTCTGACCAGAAAAACTGCAAAAGCAGAATCTCCATACAGTTACCAACCAAGACACTTAAAATGTGTTCTTTTCTAGTAGCCACTTTTCTCAGTATTAGCAGATGCAGAATAAGAAAAGTAGTGGAGATGCTGAAATAAATATCCTGAGTTGTTAAGTGCAGATTAAGATTCTAGATTCTGTATAATCTAAGATAGGGATGTGTCTGTCTGCCATAACAAAAAAAAAGCCTTTCAGGCAGGGTGTAGGCCAAAGCAACAGCTTATCTGCACCTAGCCTTCAACGCCTAAATACAGAGTTTAACCAACCACATTTGTTGAACTACTTCTAATGGCCGAATACTCAGGGGTTGCCACAATAGATCTTCTACCTCCATCTCACCCTAGCCGTAGCATCCTATGTCGATGTAGCATCTGCATGTCCTCCTTCAACACATTAAATCTTCTGTGTGGTTTTCCTCTGTCTGGCAGCTTCATATTCAACATAATTTGTTGAATATATTCACTATTCCTTTTCTACATGTGTCCAAGCCACTCAACCCTCTGACATACTCAATTCTAATCCTGTCCATCCGGGTATCTAACAATGAAAACCCTAGCATCCACTCTCCAGCTCTGTTTCCTGTCTTTTTATTTTGACCGGCACCAAACGATACCTTATAGCAAGTTTCACAACTGTCTTGTAAAGCTTCTTTTTCACGCTTGTTGTTGAAATAATTGAGATGAATGACATTAGATCATCAGAATTTTATCATCTGTTTATAATGTCTTAGAGGTCACATGCATGGAACAAAGAGCAGACAGATTAAAATTATTCCAGACATGTACTTAATGCATTGTGACGAAAGGAACAATATTTCACTTTTGGGAAAAAAGATTCTTTAAAAATTAATTCCATCCATCCATCTTCTTCCGCTTCATCCGGGGCCGGTCGTGGGGGCAGCAGCCTAAGCAGAGAAGCCCAGACCACGTCCTCCCCAGCTACCTCCTCTAGCTTATCCAGGCGTTCCCAGGCCAGTCGAGAGATATAATCTCTCCAGCGTGTCCTGGGTCTGCCCCAGGGCCTCCTCCCGGTGGGACGTGCCCGGAACACCTCACCCAGGAGGCATCCTTGTGAAATGCCTGAACCACCTCAGCTGGCTCCTTTCGATGTGGAGGAGCAGCGACTCACTCTACTCTGAGCCCCTCCCGGATGGCTGAACTTCTCACCCTATCTCTAAGGGAGAGGCCAGCCACCCTTCGGAGGAAGCTCATTTCCGCTGCTTGTATCCGCGATCTCGTTCTTTCGGTCACTACCCACAGCTCTTGGCCATAGGTAAGGGTAGGGACGTAGATCGACCAGTAAATTGAGAGCTTCGCTTTTACACTCAGCTCTCTCTTCACCACAACGGACCCGTGCAGCGTCCGCATCACTGCAACTCCAGCACCAATCCGTCTGTCGCTCTCCAGCTCCCTTTTCCCATCACTTGCAAACAAGACCCCGAGATACTCCCCACTTGGGGCAGGAACTCATCCCCGACCCGGAGTGGGCACTCCACCCTTTTCCGGCTGAGAACCATGGCCTCAGATTTGGAGGTGCTGATCCTCATTCCCGCTGCGAACCGTTCCAGTGAGAGCTGGAGGCCATCACCCGATGAAGCCAGCAGAACCACATCATCTGCGAAAAGCAGAGATGAGATTCTGAGGCCACCAAAGTGAAATTGAAAGCCCTTCGTCACCATTAATTCCACTATGCTTAAAGATACTTTTTTTTATTTAAATCAGAAAACAGTAACAGTACATGTACACCGATTAGTTTGAAGTTCAAGTGTTCTAAAAGTCACACCGTTTCTCTGATAAACAGTTTACATTCGTCCATTCACAGTGTCTGAGTCCAGCAATGTTAGATCCACAAGTTTCACTAAGGATTGCCACTGCTTACTGATGGAAAACATCAGGATATCATGTAGTATTTAGATTTTACACTGTGTTTCTAAGTTTGAATTTGGAATAAAACCTGTTCTATACCTTTGTGCTACTAATTGTTTAGGGTCAATACACATTTCTTACAAACTCTATCCTTATTGTTACATATCATTGTGAATATACTATTAATATACTAGAACCAAAAAGGATACATCTGGCAAAGGCTATATTTTCAGCATAACCAATAAATCAGTCCACTTCCTATATATTCATTTGGCGCAATTTGTGTAAATTTAGCAGTAGCCAGCTGTCTGCCTTTTCAAATTATGACTGCTCTAACACTCAACATTTTTAAAACATGTTTACTCCCTAGCTTTTAATTGTGACTGAGCTGTTTGGCTTTTGAGTCTTGTTTTCTATTTTTCTATATTCATTTATAGTTGTTTTTTTTTTTTTTAGTTTGTACAGCACTTTAGTCAACTTGTGTTGTTGTTCAAATGTGCTCATAAATAAATTGATAAACAACTGTTTATCAGCAAGAAACTTTGGTTTGAACGGTGTGGTGATCTGGAGCCTTTCTGTGTGGAGCATTTTCTCTATCATATCAAGACTATCTCTCCACTCTATTACATATTCCATATGCACGGAGTGGAGAGATAGTCTCTCACTCAGAGAACCTTAAACTCAAAACTAGAAAAATGTAGAAGGACAAGTTATAACAGCAGATGATGCCACCTCTGAGAGTGCACGGACTCTTTAGTCTGCTTGGATAAAATTCAGTAGTGATAACATGACATTGCATTGTTCTGCAGAATTTAAAAGATAGTTTCCACTAAGAGCTTTCAATGAAATGGTGTTTATTAATATTGCTAGCATAATGTCAGCCATCCTCACCATTATTGCATTATCCTTCCATTTTAAGTGTTTGATTTTGGGGCACACTAGCTGTAATGCAAGATTGCATCCTCTCAGCAATTTTTTTTCCTTAATAGTTGCCTGACATATATAACTGTAACAGCAGGGGAAAAAATACAGAATGAAACGTATACAGGTTATATATTCCAAATTCAATATTTCAGCATCAATGGCCAGAAACACAACACTGCTAGGCGCAAAGTAAAACTTTTATTTTTATTTTTTCATGTTTTTTATATTACAAAAAGTTAAGTTCCCATGTCCTTGAATACCAGCAAGCACATTGGGAATTAATAGAATACAAACAAGGCTTGTATGCAGGTTGGAAATTTCACCCTTTTTTTTAAAATCAATTTCAAAAACAGGATTCTGATTATGTAGTTGTCTTACTGCATTTCTTTGACTTACAGGGATCACAGACAATGATTCTTTACATTGTGTGAAGCACTGAACGCCTGCCATGATAGTTGTATTTCCCAGTGTTTTAGACAATAGTATCAGCCAGCATGTCCATCTGGTTGTGTTAACAACTGAGCAAATCTCTGTTCATTTTCCTGGTTGTTTACATAGCAGTCCATCCGAATTGACACACATTCTGAACCAACAGTCCTGAAACATCAACAATATACAGTGCTGCTACCAGAATTTGTTCTCACATATAATTCTAAATCATGACACATGATGTTGCTAATATTTAATCTTTTTTTTGTTGGATATGTCCTATGAAATGCTACAACCTACTGATATAGCTTATTTAGCCAAAAAAAAAAAAAGGTATATGCAATACCACAAAGCTTCCAATGTGCCTAGATCTGAAAATATACATCTGAATATTCTACCCTATGTCTTCAAGTTTTGGGAAATTAACTATGTTGTCCTGAGGGTACTGTGTGGGTACAGTGCAGTCTAGGAACTGAATATACCCAGGTTTGAGCCCCACAAATCCAAGTCTTCCCTGTGCAGGTTTCCTCTATCACTATAAACAACTCGTGTACGCTGGCTCATAGTCAGTGTAGTGTCAACGACTTTTGGGGTCTATTAGCTGATAGCAAGGATCAGGCCTTCTATCCGTTTTCTATACACTGGCTGTTGAACACAATATTTTTAAGCATAAGAAATTCTTAGGCATTAAACTAGCATTCTAGAATGCTGGTCCCGGGTTCGCTACCCGCTTAAATAAAAACTCAAATTGCCCTGAAGCTTAACACAAGCCAGAATCAAGTCTTTTTCCATTTACTGCTCAACTTCCATTTTCCCAATCCATCAATCATGCCAACAAGTAAGGACCCTTAGGGAAACATGCTTGGTTCTTTGAGGTTTTGGACACTCAGGACTATTTGTTTAAAAATGACCCTGGGTTCCTTCCTCACCAACCTACCACCTTCATTTTTGTGGTCACACTTCCTTTTAAAGAACCTCTTTACATTTTTGATATCTCTTCACTTCTTCTTGTCCCTTTGACTCTGTTTTTTACTGTTTCTTCCATTAGGTTTAAAATGAAGCATGTACTCTGTAGCATCCATGGGACTCCCTTCCTCCCTTGTCAACCTGGAAAATACTTCCTTGTATAGCCTTTCCATATGGCGTCTAATTTCCTGCAGATTCCTTAGGGTTTCCCGTTTTTCTCTTAGTAGACGTGAACGGTGCCGCCTTAAAGAGGACACATCGTCCTCCAGGCCCAACAGCACATCTTGTTTCCTCTTCCTGCAGTTCTGGGCAGCTATCTTGTTCTTACCACGACGTCGTATGTCCTTGATAAGGGTAAGTTGCTCCTCACTGAGCTGGTAATTGGACAGTAGGCTATTAAACTCCTCCACTGGCAGATTAACAATTAGCTCATTGGAGAAAGGGATCTTCAGGGTTCGTGCACGGCGCTCATCCTGACTCCAAATTTTGTTCTCTGAGATGGATCTAGAAAAGGACTGTGGGTAAGGTTTGACACTATCGTGTTGTCGAGTCGATTTAGCGTGTTTGGTAGGCATCTTGCCGAGGGGGATAGAACAGGCGGAGGACGAGGGCATGTTATACGTGTGATCATGGCCAATATGCTCCAGCCAGGAAAACCCATGAAACACACTATGATCAGAATAGTCGACAGGAACAAGCTTATTTTCATGATTCTCTCCTC